AAGGCGTCGACATGACTCGTACACACACACGCAGGCGGACTTGGATATGATTGATCTTGGGATTTGATATGTTTTGTACTATGATTATGACACTTTGGATTTTTATGGTTTGATTTGGATGAATTTATGTTTTTAAGAAATAAAAAATTGTTTTGAAAAATTAGGTTGTTACATTTTAGAAATTTATAAATAATTACTATTAGTTTTTAGTTTGTAATTTATTGTGATGCATTTATTTATTTTTATTATATTTCTATTATATTTAATTTTTCGTATATCAATATCATTTTCATTATTGATTGTGTTTTTATTTACACTTTATTCAAATTTATATTCCATTTTTATAAATCATAATTATATTAAATATGTTCACGTATATAACATTTGTTTGTGTGTGTATATATATATATATATATATATATATATATATATATATATATATATATATATATATATATATATATATATATATCAAACAATATATACAAAAGTTATATTTTTTGATATATTTAATTTAATAAAACTTTAAAAATATTTTATCCGTAGTTCCCATGGATTGTAACATATTAAAATATTTAATTACTAAATCCCGAAATATTATTTCTAAAAATTTCAAAATCGATTGTTTTAGTAAGAATATCAAAATTATTTCAATATTCCAATCACAAATCTTATCGTATTTCAAAAACCTTCAAAATCATTCATCATTTTAATGAATCCTATAAAAAAAATTATATTATTCTACATACCAACTATACAAATCAAACTTATGCTACGTTTATTTTGTTAATATAATATTTTATTTTATTTTATTTGTTTATATAGTATTTGTAATAATAAAAACCGTGGTTTACACGGATTATAACTTAATAAATTTATATAAAAGAAATTTAAAGAAATAATCCCTAAAATAATAACAAATACATTTTTATTATTCTGATTATATCCGTTCTTTTATTAACTTATTTATTAAAAAAAATACATGATTAATAATTGTCGTACCATATAGTAAACGGAGATGATATTTCTACTTATCAATTTGATGCTTCCACTTAAAATAAAATTGTTTTTACGATTTTACCCTTATTTTGATTTTTACAAAATATGATGAGATATAATTAATCCGCCTCTTATCCTTAGCAAATTTAAGCACTTCCTTTATTTAACACTTACCAAAATTAATTTGTTTCTATTTTTTATCTTTATTTGTCCTTACAAAAATTAGTTTGTTTTCTTATTTATTTTTCAAACAAACCCACTAAGTGGTATCTTTAATTCGATCAATCCATTTAAACTTTTTAATTTGAACGTAAAATCTAATAAAATTTAATTAATAACAATAAAATGTTCAAACTAATAGATATTAAATCACAATAAGATGTTCAACCAAAATAATCAAATCATAATAATGTTAAAAAAGTTGACAATGAAAAAACATTCACCTTACACCAATTACATATCACCACTTATAAAAGTTGGATACACATTTAAATCAAATAAGTTGCTATATTTTCTTATTCAATTGGAAAACAAAAATAAATGAAAGATTGTGCGATTGTGATGAGTCTACAACCTCAAATCTTCAAAATCTCATGCGGTAGATTTTTTATTTATAGTGTTGGTATAACTTTTGATTGATGAATCATCGACTCAAAAAATATATTAAATTCAGTCAAAAATTTAGTAATCATTCATTTACTCGTATCTTCCAAATGAACTATGAAGTGTCTAAGAGCAATTTATCTGATTTAAACGCATATTTAACTTTTTTTTAAGTGATAATATGTAAATGGAGTACAATGATTAAAAAAAAACAAATTAACATTTATTGTGATATAAATTGATATGGAACAAATTATTTTTGTTATATATTATTGTAATATGTATAGATAAATAAATAAATAAATAAACAAACTAGCATTTTGGGTCAAAATTATCAATGGTCTTCATAAATTGGTGGGTGCAAATAATAGGTTTGGAGCAAAACATCATTGGAAGAGTGTATGGAACAATATAGTAAAATGCGTACAAAAGTTAGAAAAAATTAACATTTCATTCGATGATGTAATGCATTAGGAGGAAGCTAGTGGCACATGGGTATCTTATTTTTGCTAGAGATGGATGGTTCTATGTGGCAGCTCTACGGGAAAGAATTGAAAGAGCATCATTTCTGGTATGTGACAGAATCTTCCCGTGGATTAAACTGGTTCTATTAAAAGTATTGGGCTTTATTTGGAGAGCGAAACAAAGTCGAATACCCTCAGCTGAAGCACCCAAAACCAGGGGAGTTACAATAGACCCAACTATCTGTGGTGCCTGTAATATGACAGATGAAACAGGTGATCATATTCTTGCAACATGCACGTTGGCAAGGGATGTATTACGAATGATCCTTCATTGGTGTGGTTTACTGGAGACAGATTTTCATTCAGTGTCGGGCATAATTGATTATGCATCTAGATGGGGAAACTGTCCTAAGAAGAGAAGTAGATTAAATGCGAGCTTATTTGGTACCATATGGTATTTATGGAGAGCCCGGAATGATAGGATCTTTAAAAAAATTGTCTTAAATTCAAAGAGAATGACATATGTGTGGATTAAAGATAGGGGAGCAAATAATAGTATAGATTGGAGAGTATGGAACTCCTTCCTTTATTCTATTGATGTATTGTAACTATATTGTCTATTAGCTGCTTGCTAGTGGGGTTATTTTCATTAATATGTATTATACTGCCGGTTAAAAAAAATGATAAATAAGAAAGAAAAAAAAAAAAAACCTTGCCCGTGTTTAAGTTTAACAAAACAAATAAATGGGTTGGTTTGATTAATAACTCAAAAATCAAATTAATTTTTCTAAGTGGTAAATAATTGACTTTTTATAAAGAAACTATTGTTTCAACATAAGGATGAACTTCCTCGAGCCCGATTGGTCCACTGTAAAAGGGGCTCGTATCAAATACCTGCTTGAAACTCTTATCGGCAACATTGTACCTAATAATCCGATTCCCTGGAACTTGGATCACGAAGAAGGTTTCATCCTCTTCTTCACCCCTAACCACATCTAACAACTGATAATCGTAATAAATTGGGATTGAAGGATCTGGGTTTATACGGATCATCTCCGGGTAAGCATTCAGAAACTCAACAAGCTCCACTCGATACTTAACAAACCACCCAGAATGATCCTTCAACATCTCGTACACGTTCAATTCCAAATGGTTCCGACTGCCATCAGGAGTATCCGCCAGATGAAGATGGCCTCGTGACTCCCCAAAGTAAATGGGCATATACCCGAATTTATAACCTCCACAAGATGCATCCGGCACTGTCAATGGCAACGGTGTAAACTCTTCCGTGTCGAGTTTAAAGCAAGATAGCTTAAAAGTGTTGGGAACCCAATGAATCGCTTGATTCCAATAAACACCATGGAAGAAGTACGTATTATGCGGAGCAGAAATAGATTCATCCGAAATCTTCCATTTCCGTGTCTCAGACGAATAGATTTGAATCTGAAATAGGTCCTCCTTAGGTTTAGCAAGATTAACACAAACAACTTTGAAATGGACACAATCTGTTCGATCAAATGCCAGACCCATAAAACGGATATTTTTGCGAACATCCTTGCCTCCAGGAACCGCTGGGATGATTACAAATTGCCTGGTGGTGGGATTGAATACATAATATCTACGATCACGCTGGCTCCCTCGTTTGCTACAACAGAGCATTAATCCATTACAGGATTGCAGGATTTTAATGCCACAAGGATCAGGGTAGAAGTCGAGATTACAACGAGGGGGAGTTGCTGGGTAACTTGGGTTCTCACCATCAAATCGGATATACATGCTGTAATAAAAGAAGCCAGGAGAGATTGAAGATTTTTTATACAGGAGGGTGAAACGCGGGTCACTCAAAAGGGAACGACAGTGTTTGGATACAGATTTGAATTGAAGAACAGAAGTAACAGGAAGTCGGAGAAGGATTTCGATCAAAACATCATCGTTTGAATCTATTAAAGCTGCAGACTGGTTGTTCTTTGTGTTGTGGGTTTTTTTGATTTTGGATCTGGTGTTCGCCATTTTTGGAGTGGGTAGAAGGCGTTGAAGAAGAGGTGTATTTAAGGTGTGGTTTCATGGTCAAAGATTGCAATGGAAGCTGATAGTAAACAGAAAACAAGATTGCCTTGGAAGCTTTACCAAAGGTCATGTTGACGCGAATTTGTCAAATAATTTTAAGGCCTCTAAAAAAAGGACTTTACATTTGTGAAAACTGAATTTCCATTTTTTTTCCCATTCCAAGTTTCCAACAACATTCATTAGAAAAATATTAGATTTGATTACAAATTTGGTCGATATGTTTGCATTTTTAGGTCTAATATTTTCTTAATCTAATTTGGTCCATGTTTCTATTTTTCCCAAACAGTTATGGTTTTAAGTATGGTATAAAATGACTATTTTATCCCTTATAATATTTTTACAAAATTTGGTTTGGATCAATGAGAGTAAGCATGAGAAAACATGTATAAATAATCAACACGTGTTGATACCATTTGTTTTTGATACTTTTGGTTTGGTAACACCAAAAGGTATGGAGTTCATCAACATAATCTCACGAGTCATGAATTGTAATATTATTAAATGAGATCAATGGATATAGTTTTTAGTACACTTAGTTTTGCAATAAAGAAAATGGTAGCCACACAACTTGTTGTTGGTTTTCCTTCAATTTTCAGGTCAAATTAATATTTTATATTTAAAATGAATTGTTTTTATCTACGAAGAATAAGTAATTAAACATAACAGAAGACTCATGAGCCTTTTGGTTTCCAAGAGAAAACGATTTTATTTAAGATGGGTTGTTCATAACATACTTCACGTGGGCTACTGCATGTCAATGCTTTAGATTATTTTCAGACACAAATGTTGTCCTCTGGATTCACAGTATATTATGTTAATAACATACTACTATTTCATACTTTTACACTATTGCACTTTTTTTTTTTTTTTTTTTTTTTTGTATCGAGACATTGTATATTTAAAAATCTACCCAAGAATAACATTGTGCTTTCAATTTATTTTGTTCTTATGGTTGAAGTAAATAACAACAATATGTAGTCTTTTTGTGCCAATGGTATATAACATTTTCAAAGACTAATTAAAATAGTAAAAATCAATGCAAAACCTTCAATTGGAGTGCTTAGCCTTTTGATTCCTCATAAAGTAATAGTAGAAAATAGGATTTTGAAGGTTACACACAAACTGGACCTTACTATTTATATTAGAAAGACACCAAAGATTCAATATAACGATGAACATATATGCCTCTGGTTTGTCCGATCTTGTCAGATATCTGCTTGAAACTCTTGTCGACAACATTATACCTTATGACCTTCCCTGGAACTCTGATCACCATAAATGTTTCTTCTTCTTCTTCACCCCTAACCACATCAAACACATCAAATTCGTAATAATCCAAGCTCAATGGATCTAGATTGCTACAGATCATCTCCGGGTAAGCATCTGTAAGTTCATCAAGGTCAACTCGATACTTAAGAAACCACCCTGAATGATCGTTTAGCATCTCGAACACATTAAGCTGTAAACGATCGACCCTCTCCACCAAATGCAGATGACCTCGCGACTCCCCAAAGTAAAGTGTCATCTCCCAGTTTTCAAAATCTTCAGATGGCAACGATTGAAATTCTTCTGTGTCGAGCTTAAAGTATGACTTCTCATCGAACGGATACCAGTGGATCGCTTGATTCCAAAAAACTATGTAGTCGATAGAGCAATCGGGTAAAGACATATAATCATCTGAAATCTTCCATTTCCCTGTTTCGGAAGAGTAGATTTGAACCTTAATCACATCGTCAGGCTCAGGAAAGTAAAAGCAAACAACCTTGTAGTGAACACAATCTGTTTGATGAAATGCCAAAGCCATAAATATTATGGTTTTACGAAAAGCCATGCCTCCGAGAATTGATGGGATGACTGCAAATTGCTTGGTGGTGGGATTAAATACGTAATATTTATACACACGTGCGTCCCCTTCATTGCTACGACAAAGCAGCAATCCGTTACAAGATTGCATGATTCTAATACCACGAGGATCAGGATAGAAGTCGAGATTACGAAAAGGAGGAATGCTTTCGTTCTCATTATCAAATGGAATACACAAACTGCGAGCAAAAAAACCAGCATTTTTATAGAGTAGGGTAAATCGCCGGTTACTCAAAAGGGAACGCCAGTGTTTGGATACAGATTTGAATCGAAGAACAGAGGTTACAGGCAATCGGAGAAGGATTTCAATTAAAAGATCGTCGTTGGAACCGATCAGAGCTCCAGACTCCGTGGCCAGATGATTGGTGTCGGCCATGGCAGCCTTCGAGAACCAGAGGTTTATGGTGTTCTGGATTTTCTTGATTTTAGATCTGGTGTTCACCATTTCTGGACTATAGGTTGAAAGCCTTGAAGAAAGAAAGGGTTTTTTTTTTTTTTTTTAAGTTTTGTCATGGAAGCTGATAGCTAATTAGCTTGCCATGGAAGCTTTGCCTAACGCTTTAATTCTTTGCTGACGTTGACTTGACTAGGAAATGTCCTTGATTGAAAAAAGTATGTGGTTTTCACCGTTCTTTTCAATTCAGCCTATAGTATAATAGTCTTAAAAGTTCATGAAAAAAAGAAGAAGCTATTTTTAATTACTATTTTTGTTGTACTTTTAAGACCGCATGCAATGGTGATCACGTGTTCTAGGTGGCCACTAACCGCATGCAATGCAATGTATCATTTAACCTCGAATCACCATTGTCTAAGGGGTAAGGGTTGTTTAGTATAAAAAACTTTCAACCTCTCCTGGGCCGGGCCCAAGGGGTGGGCAAACTTGGGCCATGGCCTAGGGCAGTAATGGGCTAAGGGGTTCAATTGAGTGGCTAAATGATACATACGACACAGGGGGCAGGATAGGTAAACACAACGTCATCGGCTTTTGAAGACGAAGACGGATTGTGAAAAGCTTCTTATAGTTCGTGTTTTGCTTGATTGCTTTAGGTATCAAATTTTCCATCTTCATGTCCTATGATCTACGAATTACAATCTTTTACTCTTATTATGCGCTCTGAATTCAGATTTTTGAGGAGATTGTTAAAAATTGTTGCTAAATAAGTTTCTTTCTTTAAAGGCTAAAATATTAAAAGATTGTTGTTAATTTTTAGTATTGATAGATTGTTGTTATTTTTAATTTTGCTTCATTTTTCAAATGTTGAAACTTTAATGATTGGAAGATTTTTGAAAGCTAAATTAGTATTGAAAGATTGCTGCAATTTTTTTTAGATTGAGGGGTTAAACCCTTGAACTCAGTACATTAGTCTAAATGAGATACGTTTTGCTCTTTGTAAAGGGCATCATTGTATTAGTTGATCAAAAGTTATTTCAAAGGATCAATAGTTAGCCTTCTATGTAACTTACTAGATTTTTCTCTCTTTCGTGGGAACAGGATCATGAATGAGTAAGAGTGAGAACAGCTGAACAGGGCCCACAAGCTCATTGATGAGTTAATGGCTAGTAATATGGAGGATTTAGATGGAAACGAGTGATTTTATTTATCCAGTCAAGAATTACAACTTCCAAGAGACCAAGACATCCATGAACTTCCTAGAGTTGACTTTCTTTATCCAGTCAAGAATGTAGTAGAAGACTCTCGGAGCATATTGACCGATGATTTGCCAGATGTTATGAAAGGGAGAACACTTGCGACACAAAACAAGATTATTTCCCAACAACCTCCTATCACAATCTCTAGGTGGTTCCCCCACGCCACCTAGGATTCCATATTTGGCAATTATATCAAAGGATCCGTTCTCCACCCATGATGTTGATTCACCTCCCGCGACTTGTACAAAAATCATTAGTATAGACTCTAGGGTCAAGTCATGCCATTGCCAACAAGGACATGGAGTTGCTGGTTTTTAAATCTTTTTGCAATCGATAGTTTCAACTTCGGAAAAAAGAATTGACTAAATTGCAAAAATTGTCTATTTTTTTAGGGTTTTAATCCAAACTCTGACTTTTTGGCTTCCTGGTCCTTTTTGACCATGTTTGTTTGTGATTTTGGTCCTTCAGAAAACTGAAAAGACTAAAATGCCCTTTCTGATATAATTTTTATATTTTTCTATTTAATTTAAAGGAAAAAGAAAATAAATAACTAATTTGGCCTCTCTCTCTCTCTCTCTCTCTCTCTCCCTCTCTCTCTCTCCACAAAGTCATCCAAAGTTCATATTCTCCATCCAGTTCATCCAATTGCAACCCTAAAACATTAAAGATGTTCATAAATTGAAAATGATAAATGCCTACTTGCCTAGATCATCCTTGTAATTGGAAAACTAGTCAATCTCTACCAACCTTCACTTTAGCCATAACCTCCATTGACCATCTTCATCCACCACTGCATCGCATCTACTCTGTCTCACATCCCCAACTATGCAGATCGATCTATCTTTGTGTGTACAACCCTAAGCCCCTAACTTTGCCATATCAATGTAGGTTTGACTTCACTGCTTTAAGACGATGGACTGAAAGGAAAAAAAAGGAACGAATGAAGGGGAAAGAAAGAAGGAGACGGTGAGGTGGGCCTCAAGAACCTTAGTCGTCAATTGATTTTACAAGCATGTCAACTTAATCTGCGTAGCTTAATCTACGTTTGATAAATCTCCATTCCTACATCGCTAAGCACTTCTGCACCACATCACCATCTCCATCATCTACAATCCAAAATGAAACAGAGAAACCATGGGTTCGTGTTATGACATCATCTGAATCCGTTGTAATCGTTGTTGTAGAAGACAATGAACAATACTCGATTTTGATTTCTAGATTTCTGGATTTGGAGGGTAAGAAGAAATTCATCAGAGCCAAACAACACCACTGAAGCAAGGAAAGAATGAGCGAGACCACAAATTCACACAAGGATTTTGATACATTGGAGCATGACCACAAAAAAAACTGGAAGAGATTAGACCTATTTGGGGCTGCAACCAAGGGGTTTGGTTGGAGAAGATTAATTGGGGGGAGGGGGGGTTGGTTTGCTTCACCGTCGCTAGAAAGTTGCATCTAGATCTAAGGTCCCTGCCAAATTTTTGCAGCCACTTTCTTTTCCTTGACCCATGATTTCTTTCCTTCTTTGATGTGTGTATGAGGGATAAGAGAGAGAGAGAGAGGGAGGGAGGGAGGGGGGGATAGTGAGAGTGAGAGAGATACATATAGAATAATTGATGGTGGTGGTGGCGGATAGTGGTGGCTAACGGTGGTGGGTGGGTATGTGTTTGTGTGTTAAAGAAGAAAGGACGAGAGGGAAAATATGATGGCGTACCAGTTTCTAGAGAGAGGGGGGGGGGGGGGAGAAAGAGGTGGTCCGGTTTTATATTTAGTTTAGACAGGGACCACAACTGCATGTAAACTAGCTTAAAGTGACCATCAATCCAAAAAATCCAAGGTTTGGACTAAAACCCCAGAAAAATGCATACCACATGGACCATTTTTGTAATTTTGTCAAAATAATTTAATAAAAAATTTATTTTACTTATATTAAGTGATAAAACCATTCATATACGTATATGCGTGTATCTTGTCATGCACAATAAGTTATACTAGAATTACAATGGAAATATTATAATTTAAACAATTACCTTCAGCATTATATCGTTAACATCACCATTGTTGTATAGTTGCTCGAAAGAAATCAATAAACATCGTTATTGGTAGTTGTAACGCCTGTGTTTCTGGGCCTGTCATTAATGATGATATAATAGTCTAGGTTAACATTTGTATCCCGTATTGAAATAATAGAAGTGTATTATTTGAGTATTATGTGTTTTGTGCTTAATTGCTTAATTATGTGATTTGATTAATTAAGAATAAAAATAAGCATCAAAATTTAAGTATAAAATAAACTTGATATCTTTAAATAATGTTGTAGTAGTTGAAACAAGGTTTCCGAAGAAATAAAGAATGCCGAAATCCGAGTTATAACAAAGAAGTTATGACCTGTCGAAGTTTCGCGACAAAACCGGCAACGCTGAATGACGTAAAAAGTGAAATTTACGTTAGAGCGATATTTATCCTTAGTGATCTAAACGAGAATCGAATATCTCGTTGTTAGTATCAAAGCGATAAAAAGTTAGGCGAGAACGAACGTCAAACGAAGAAGTTATGAATTTATAACGAAATTTTATGTCCCGGCCTATTAAGAATAAATAATAAAAATAAAGTCAAAATTAGCCGACGGAGTCTAAACGAAAGTTGTAGAGCATAGTCTCACCTTCGCGTGGATATAAAGAACGTCAAAAACGGAGTTCGTATGAAGAAGATATGAATTTTCGAATTTTATTAAATAATTAATAATTAAATTTAATTATTAAACCTCGGTATTATCCGGAGCCGAGTCACCGGACTCATCCGGAGTAAGCCCCACGTACGGCGAAGAATGTCGACACTCGCACTCGAGGACTTCGGTACGTAAGCAATGACGATTTCGGAGGCTTACGCCCCGTGTAAGGCAGTACGCCCCGCGTACTGCGAGGCCTCAGCCTCCTACAAATAGGATGCGAGGGGTCTGGGCTTAATTGCTCATTTCTCCTCCATTTCGTGCCGAAGCTCTGCATTTTAACCCCCGAAGCCCCGGTAATATTCCCGAGTCCCGAAGCAAGTCCCGAGATCCCGAAGATCCCGAGAAGTGCGGTTTCCGAGCCGAAGCTCTGCCCGCGAGAAGTTCGATTTTTGTAGAGATCTTCCAGATCTGCTGAAGATTACTACTTCTACAAGCCGTAGTGCTGTCCGATCATCTTCTGATCAAGTGAGTGTGTAGTTAATTTCTTCTAATGCATAATTATGAAGTATTTTATACGAAATACGTGTTATGTGTATAATTTTGTTGTTATGTGCGTGAATGTATATTCACTCTCTTCAATCTCATAGATCTGATTTGTTTTCTATGAAATATGTGTTATGTGGGTATGCCTCATCTGTTATGTGAAATATGTATTGGATGAAAATGCTATACAGGTTTTAAAGTATGTATAAAAACATATATTTTTATCTACTAATAAGTTGGGTAGAACATGGGTACATAGTTGGTGTGTAATAAACAGATGAGAGACCTCGATGTTGTTGTTGTTGACCTAGTTATTCAGCGGAGTATGGATAACGACCACAGACTCCTTCTAGACAGTCTCGTGGAACGCTAGCAGGTTCATAACTTGTAGGTGTTGTGAACGATGTGTTCACTGGTGTACTCTATCCCCCTCATGGTTGCCTTTAGGATATCTATTGTTGAGGAAACCCCTTAGCAGTAATGTCCGTCCCGATGAAAATCCTAGATTAGGTCCCTTGAGATAGATGTTGTTTTAGGGACGTAAAGTGAAGATAACGGGAATGGGTAATCGGGATAGTGAT